GTGGGCATTCCAGCTTTCATGGTGGGCGGTAGGGGTTTTATCCGATCCTGAAGCGCTTTCCTTTTTTAAAAATTTAATTGACTTCCCTACTTTATAAGTCACCATTACTGTGGAATCGGTGGGCGGTTAGGAAATTTTACTACTAACAGTGATACAAAAGTGGGCGGTAGGTATAAAAAGGTTGACTACCCCTGATCTAGGATATAATGATAGGTTTGCATAACATGCCATGGGCACTTCAAAAGGTAAGTAGCATGAAGCAAAAAAAGGGGCAAAATAAGGGAAAATGCCTTAAAACATAACTATTTATAAATCAGAACCACTAGGTTCATATTTTGCTAACACAAAATCACAATAAATTACATGATGGGTGAATGGTATATGTTTCTGGGTTTATCTAGAGCAGGGGTGTCAAACTCAAGGCTTAGATCTGGCCCAAAGGGTGCCCTGGAACAGCAAATGCCCTGGTGCCACTGTCAGTGAAAATGGGAGCTCAGAAGGGCTGTTGTTTCCCCTTTTTTGGACATGACAACCTCCTGCATCTCTCTGCCAGTAAAGACGCGTTCCATTTTCACTGGCAGAGAACTATCGAAACAAACTAAAAACAAAACAAAAGGAGAAATGTTTCCCCTTTTGCATTTGACTATGCAAGAAGGGTCAGGAAAGGAAAAAGGGAAAGAAAAAGAAAAGATGGGAAGAGAGCAAAGAAGGAAAATTAAGGAAAGAGGGGAAGGAAGAAGAAAGGAGAATGAAGAGGGAAGGAAAAAGAAGAAAAGGAAGGAAGGAATGAAGGAATGAATGAAAGGAAGGAAGGAAGGAGATTATAATGAGAGTAAGGGAGGGTCTGAGGGAAGTTCTGCCTTAGCACCTGGCCACCACAAGTGCCCCTGACATGAGTGATGTAGAGCTGGTCATGCCGACCTTGGACACATATACTCTGCCCACCCGAGGTCAAACATAACCCTGTTGTGGCCCTCAATGAAATCGACACCCCTGATCTAGAGTCTGCTTCCCACTGTACATTTTCAAATCTGATTTGGTGATTTAATGAAATTTATGGAAAAGATTAATGAGCTCTGTCGTAGGGAGTAGAGGAAGCCCCATTGTTCAAAGGGCAGCCCAGTGCATAATACTGAATATAATAGAGATGCACTCCAAATTTACCATTAATTCCTTTCGACTTTCCTGTATTCTATGAGGATCAGCATTTGGCTCCTTAACTTGTGCTTGGTGCCTCCGTGTCTCTGCAGCAGCCAACCACAGCAGCAGTTTCTGATTCTGTTCATGAAAATCCTGCAGAAACAAGTGCTCGTTTTTTCAGAAAATAATCATATAAAAACAGACAGTAACCTCAAGATGTAACTTTATGGCAGCTGATTCATTAAAACTACAAGTAGCCCGCAACTTACAATCGGGACTGGAATTTTCATCATTGAACAATGCAATTGTAAAATCCAACTGTGCTGCTTAGCAAGGGCAAATTCCCGCAGTTCCAGGGGTGGGTTCCTGACAGTTCTAACCTCTTCTATAGAAGAGGTTCCACAAATCTACAGTGCCGTTGAGAACCGATTCCAGCTCCCTCCTCCCACCTGTCTGCACATCATCAAGATGAAGAGCGCGAGGAGGAATTCTGGGAATTGAAGTCTTAAAGCTGTCAAGTTTGAACACCCCTGGGGTTCTTTTTCTAAAGGGTTAGGGGTGCAAGGGTCTTGTAACTTGACAGCTTTAAGACTTGCACACTTCAATGCCAGAGTTCCTGAGCCAACAAGACTGGAGGAGGAATTCTGGGAGTTGAAGTCCACAAGTCTTAAAGCTGTCACATTTGAACATCCCTGGGGTTTTTTCCCTAAAGGGTTAGAAGTGCAAGGGTCTTGTAACTTGACAGCTTTAAGACTTGCTTGCTTCAAATGCCAGAGTTTCTGAGCCAACATTTTGGTTGCTAAGCAAGAGCATTGTTAAGTGAGTTTCACCACATTTTACAAGTTGGCCACCCCCACCCACTCACATGACTGCCAAGCCACTCCCACTCAGTCACATGGCTAGCAAGCCACTCCCACAAGGCAGGCCACACCTACAGAAGAGGTTCTAAAAATGTTTGAAACCCATCACTGTGCAGTTCCAATTGCCATCGTTAACCAAATCCCATGTTATTAGATGAGGCAACTTCCTGCCAACCTCCCACAGCCAAAGTCATGAGGGCATGGGTAAGTAGCTAGTGCTGGATGGGGGGTAGGTGGGGTGGACAAAGCGAGGAGGTGTGCAGCGAAGGTGCAGTGTGGGTTAGGGAGGGTGTGAAAGACGCATGGTGTGGGTTGAGGAAAGTACATGCAGTGCAAAGGAATGTAATGTGGATTGGGAAGCAGGTGATGTGAGGGAATGCATGGAAGGCACAGTTTGGATGCACAAAACAGGGCTGTGGGATAGAGTACAAAGATGGGAGAGGATTAGCCCAGTGATTTGTGATTTTCCCTTCTGGTTTCCACATTGACTTTCTGGGGAAGCTGGCAGGGAAGGTTGCAAATGGTGCTAATGTGACTGCAGGGCGCTGCAACAGACTTTCAGTGTGAATGGGTTGCTAAGTGCCTAGATTGCGTTCATGTGACTATGGGGGGGAATGGTTTGCTGGGATGGCCAGAACGCCAAGGACTGGCTGTAACCACTATTTGTTCATCATAATTTTAAATGTCACTGAGCAAACATAGAGGCTGCCTGTACATAAGCATTTGCTAACCTAGTAATTTCAACTTGTTAATAATAAGGTACAAACACAATGTGTTATTGTAATATTTACCTGGCAATGAATCAGAGCTTTTTGTAAATCCTTCTTCCAGTTTTCCAGTGAAATATTTGCCTTCTCCCATCGTAAATTTACCCTTCGAAGTCTGTTCTGAAGTTCCTTGCATCCAGTGCTATCTGTTTGCTTGAAATCTTTGCTGGTCAGATTAACAGACAGTACAAGGGCCTTGTAGTTATTATAGGCTTTAAACATATCCTGATAAGAGAAAAAACAAACAAAATTGAGTTCTTTGTAAAAAAAAAAAAAGGTAAGCAACAACTGTGATTTTAAGCAGCAGCACCAAAATAAGGTTGG